CGCTGCAGTTGCACCATCGAGGAAAGAGAGGAAAACGCAAGATTTTTCCGGGAGAACGCGAATGGATTCGAGCGGGCCAAAATGAACAAGGTTCAGGAGTTCGTCAACAGATGCCGTTGCAGGGAGGTTGCCAACGTAAACAGTACGGCTAGTTGCGTTAGGGTTGGCGGAGATGACTGCCGAGAGCGCGGCCGGTGAATAGGCTCCGGGTGTGGGCGGGATATTAACGTTGAGCGACGGAAGACGAGGTTGTTGATTGAAACCCTGCTACACCGACCCATGTAAAACCCACACAATAACGCAATAACCGGGCATATTTCAACGTCCGTGTTTAACCCCAAAATTCTTGAAACACGCACCTGGCCAAAGTTCCCAGATTGGCTCGAATAAGGGAACCCCCCGAGCATCCCCACGCTTGGTAGACCCATTCCTAACATCCCATATCCAAACGACCCTGCGTTCCCGTATGCACCCGCGCCGTTCTGCCCCTGCTGTGTCCCTTGTTGTTGCTGCGCAAAACCAGTCCCTGTATGCGGGCTCATTTGGGCGCTCATCGGAATCGTTTGTCCGTGTCCGTTAACCGCGGTATTGATAGTCAACGACGGGGTTGAGTACAGAGCATTGGGTGTAAAAGCGGGCGAAGAGCTTGGCTGGAAGGATTGAGAAATGGCTGCATGTGGACCATAGCCGTAATTGGCGAAAGCATCGCGCGTGGAGGTGGAGGTTGTGCCAGAGGTGGAGGTGGTAGTGAGTGCGCTCGAGGCATTTGTGCTGCTGAAGGTAGGTGACCAGCGCGCCTTTTTCGCATCTGGACCGCCGACGGTATCCATGGACCTCTGGCAAGTCGCGAACAGGTTTTCGGATCATGAGCATTGACAAACGGACACAAAGAACGGGAGACAGAAGACACAAATCCGGCTGGTACTCACCTTCATCATGTCGAGATCAAAACCGTAAGAGGGATAGTGAGCTGCGAAAGCTGTCTGGGAGTCGTCCATCGTTTTGATGTCGGTTCAAGGAATGTGGGTGGTATGATCCGATTGCAAGGGAATGGAAATGGATGGATAGGTAATTGGCAACGGCGGAAACGTCGTTGGTATAATTGCAACGAATGACAACGGAAAAAAAAAAAAAGGATGGGCAAAGTTAGAGAAAGATTGACCTCAACAAGAAAAAGTTGGAGGGGTTGGTAAAGAGCGTGGGTGGGTGTGTATGAGTGCGGGGCGCGCGGATAATATGCAACAGAAGTGCAAAAAGAAAGTGTCAAAAGGTGCGATTTCGCAACAAACTTTTCAACACTTCTTGGAGTGACAAACGAGTGTAGTTGGGTTGGGGATGGGAGAAAGAATAAAAAAGACACGCACAAAAAGCAGATATGGAGGGGGAGAAGATTGTGCTGTGTTTTATAGATAGAGATAAAACGTTTGGTAAAGGTTTAAGGACAAGACCAAGATTGACGAGATCAGAACCTACACCCTAGTCAAAAGGCAACAAAGTCAATCCAAAGCGATAACGAAACAACGCTCGAGCCAGAGGTCGCAGCCCGCGGAGGACATGTCCTGCGACAAGCCAGGCAGCGACCGGCGTAGCAGTGAGGAAATAAACGTACGTTATGATCGACGGCGAGGGCGACGAGGACGTTGCGGACGACGGTGACGACGTGCAACGGACAACGAAGACTCGTCGAGCAAAAACTCGTCAAGCAGCTAAGCTGGAGAAGCGAGAAAATGGAAAAAGTTGAAACCTTGAAAATTCAACAAATTATAGCCGACAAGATCCATCGCAATTTATTAAGGATAACTATTTGATCTCGTCTTTCCCACCAACGCACGGGCCCCCATCATTATTACTGTAATTATTTTATCGCGCTAAGTTAAGTGGCCGATCGTTGTCAATCATCGTCGTCGGATAATGCGTCTTGATCGCGGCGGACAGCCTTCCAGAGACGTTCCTCGAGGTCTTGAACGGCTGCCATGTCCTGTCTGTCCACCTCCGCGTCCTCGCGCAGCTCTGCCTCCAATGCCTCTTCATCCGTCTCGTTGGGCATCAAATTGTCCTCTCCATACATCTCCTCACTCTTACACCTCCTCGTCCTGGTAGCCTCCTGTGTGTACGTCCGAGAGAAACAGTCGATGGGAGGAATAGTCCAGACGGATGGCGGGCGGATGACCGGAGTATAGATATCTCGATGCAACGAAAGAGGGGGAGGGGCGGGACTCGACTCCTCCGCATCGGCGCCAAGATCGGCGCCGGAAACATTGTCTAGCTCGGTTCCACCAGGCGAACTCGTCGTCTTTGATTTGACTTCTCGATTTTTGGCGTCGTACAGTGAGAGAAGTGAAGCAAAGTACTCTTTATGACTGTGATGCCGTACACCCACTGCTGAGAGAGCGTGTTCAACGGCGCTGAGGCCAATCTGTGCAAAGCATGATGATGGTTAGCACAGTTGATCAAAACAAGAGCTTTGAAAAGGTGGCTCGCACACGGGCGCGTGCAAGATGGCGAAGATGGCGTCAAGTAAGTAAAGACACACTTGGTCACTTCCCCTCCAAGCCCGGCTCCTCTCCTTCAACATCACCTCCCGTTCCCTCCACACAATCGTCCGGTGCACGACGTCCGTCACAAACCACACGACCGCCGCTTGCAAATGCCGGATCAACTGCGCATCAACGGACTGTGCTGGTAACGATAGAGTCTCTTCTTCTCCGTGATCTCCGTCGTCGCCATGCTCGAGAGACGTGTACAAGCTATAATATCACGAACCGTATAGGATTGCTTAGTCAAGCAGAGGCTCAGGTCGGACGGGAAGATAAGTGCTCACCCCATGAGTTTTCCCAATGCACTCAGGTGCAATAAATCCATGCCCTCCGCACGGAGATACGCAGCGTCGATCCCCAGTTCCGCGAATGTCGCTTTAAGTTTGTACGGTAATGTCAGGCCCGGTTTGTTCGATCTCGTCCGAGGGTTTTCAGTATCTCCCTCATCCCTGTACCTTCCAACGCCACGAGACTCGGACTCGGACTCGGGCTCGGCGTCGGACGGAGGCTCAGAAGCAGGAGCCGAAGGGAGCACGGAACACGCAGGGGTAGTGGACCGCCCAAGCTTGGCTTTCTTCCCTGGTTTCAACCTTTCCATGCTCATGGATTGTTTCCAGGTGTTCGCCTTATCTTCGGTTTCCACTCCGTCCATGTCCACACCTTGATCCGGTGCAATTTCGACAGACTCGCCTGGCCCTGAACTCCCTAGACTCCCAGCTCGGAAAAGTGCCCTGCGACGACGCATATAAAACCTCTTATGGAGACGACGGCGCGAGCGAGGAGACATATGAGAGGTATCTGGGATTGCGTCCAGCGGGGCAGGCCACGACGCGTTCACTGCAGTAGGAAAGGGTTGGGGAACTGGAACCAACGGTGCTTCAGGCATAGGAATGGGTGGGGGTTCGGATGTGGGGGTAGGATGCGACGACACATTCTCGCTCGGCGCTGCCAAGTAACAAAGACGCATAGATATCAGCACAATACTTCATTCATACTTTAGCACTCACCTCGAGACATCGCGAGTAACACAGGGTCAATCATTGAATCGGGTACGACTTCGCCTCTCGCCTCCAAGATCCTGGCCTCAGTAGTCGTCTCGTCCAGGTTCCTATTGGCGTTCTCAAGATGAGATGCCGTGACTTGGAGCTGCCCCGCTACAGCACGTTCGCGTTCTGGCACGACTAATGACTGTGCCCTCAGAGCAGCCTGCGAACCATCGGTATTTCGCATCCAATTCGCCTCCTCCGCCTCGCGCAATATACCATCCAACACCACAAGATGCGCTTCTTCGAGACGAGCGAGCATCTCCTCAGGCGCGAGCTGGCATTTACGTCGTTTGCGCGCGGGACAGGCGTCTCCGTTGCGTGCTGAGTCGTGTTTGAGATCCTGGGACGGAAAGTCTGGTGTCGCTGCCACATGAGACTGGGAGACGGGATGGGAATGAGATGGGGAACGGGACGCTGCTCGTTTCTGACCAACTCGTGCGCGTCCGCGCCCTTGTCGCTTCTTAGACCCACGAGGACGGCCACGTCGACGCTTTGAGGGCTTGATGTCTTTAATATCTTCCTCAGCGTCCGAAGCAGCACCAAAGCCTTCACCAATAACTCCCGTCGACCGCACAAACCAATCTTCGTGGACGATCCAGGCAGCCATAGATTCCTCAGCATCAATCCAATAGGAGGAGACTTCATGGGCCTGTTCATGGCCAGCATAAGGCTGTGGCAATGTGTTGGAACTGGAATCTTGGTCGGAGCCAGAGTCTGAGTCTGAGGACGAAGAGGAAGAGGAAGGGCTACTGGACCCGTCCATGTCCTCTGGGCCAACAACGTCGAGTTCAACAGCCTTTCCTTTCCCCTTGTTCTTCGCCCCACCTGCTCTCTGCCCTCTTCTAATCCCCCCAGACGCGCTCCCATCCTCTAACGCAGCTAGCTGTGCAGCCCCCTCCTCCAGCGCCTCCAGGTACACGCTCACCTCCCACGCACTCCTCGTCGGCACACACGCCGCTACCAGGTCAGGCCGCCACCGGGAATATAAAGAGAGTGCACGGAAGAGAGCGGCGTGTTCGACTTCTGTCCAGGGTGATGGTGATGGTAGTTGTGCTGCATGTGAGAGACGGGACGAAGACGAGGATGAACGGGAGTGGGCGGTGTCGTTGTCGTGCGCTGCGCCTCCATTCTTGAAGCAGACCCCGAGCCGCGCTCTCGTTTCTTCGAGGTGGTCCAGGAAAGAGGGGAAGTAGCTTCCTAGGACATCGTAGTCACATTCTATAGTGTCCATATACGACTCTTGCCTTCAGCGCGGGCGCAAGTCTTCCAGAGCCCACAAGATACCAGCACATAGGGAGGAAGACTAAATTATAAAACTTTTTTTTGCACGAACACCGAAGTTTCGTGATAGACTGATAGCCGACTTTCCCTGTCGCAACTAGATTTTCTATAATCTCATGTTTTCCATGAAAGACATGGCGCTATAGTGTAGTGGTTATCACTCGGGATTTTGAGTACTGACGCAAGTCAGCGGTCTTCCCGAAACCCAGGTTCGAACCCTGGTAGCGCCTAACCTTTTGACATTCTTTACAACCTGCCGGAATACTGATGGTGTCGCCGGATTGTCCTGTTCTTTATCAATGATAGTGAGTAACATCTAGTGATGGCCGCCGTCTCTTGCAGGAGATGATGTCCACAAGAAGGCGACCTACCTTCTCCCCAATGTATCCCCTACTTCTTTTAAAAACATCGTGCTCGACAAACCTGACTTGGGAAGCGCGATTTTCCTGATGTGACCGTTCCTCAGGCGCGTCGAAGAGCAAGCCAACAGGGGAGATAAATCGGCCGCCACATCGCCCACAAGGTGCACTCCTCGACGGGACTGCTCCCCATTAATTGGGCCGCCAAGACCCTCATTTTCGGGTGACGCGGAAGCTGCGCGGAAGATCTCACAATGAGAAGCCCATACTTACCCGGTAAGACTGGGTTGTCCCTGGAAAGGTGGGGTAGAGTTTCGTCGTGTGATCCTCAGGGATTTCAGATCTCGTGCTCGGCATGTAAATTATTGCTCTTCTCTTCAGGGCATCAGCGTGGAGATGGTATGACTCTGGCAGTTGCATATGTCTGAGAGCCCGGACGTGAGTCGCATCAATGACGCGCAACTGGACCAGTCTAGGAGACATTCCTGAATGGGTCGCGCGAGGGGTGATGTTCAACTAAACTTCGGGTTGAGGAGATGACTTACATGGGGGTTATGCTCATACTATCGACTCCTGACGGTCCGCCGTCGATACAGCGGCAGCCGACGACTTTGGAGTCGATGATGATCTACGACTGTCGCGGGTGACTGATATCCGTTTATCCGCAATCACATGTGCGTCGACGGCGCCAAATGCGACGATGACCGTTGCAGTCTCGTGAGTAGTGGCGCATGGCATGAGCTGGCAGCAGGCCAGCGTGACAGAACCGCAGCCAATGGAAAAGACAGGCTATCCTCCATCGAACTCAGGTTGGCAGCCTGCCATTGGCAGCGCTGGCGAGGGGCCCAAGTGTATGTAAAGGGGGAATAAAGTCAAATGCGTCGCTGCGACCAACACAAAGACCAAGGAAGCTCGCGACTCCAGACGAAGACGATTTGTCTCGGCGCGCGTTGGAGGATTCTGCTGTTCTCTGTCAGAGGCTGAGGAGGTGAATCGTTTGGCTGGAAAGCACGCAATTTCGAACTTACTTATGGCCCCAGTCAAGCACCCACGAGTCGCTAGTCAACCTCAGGACAACACTTGGCTAGCGGAATACAAGGACCACTCAACGCCCATCTCAGACGAGTTTGGCAATATTTCAACGCCTACCTTTGCCCCATATTCTCATCAAGCTCGACTGCACTGTCCTTCCGTCTTCCATACCACCCTCAACGCACGCACGTACAGAACGCTCCACGGACTCGACACTGCAAGCAGGCCAAACAGGCCTAATAAACAGAGCGAAGAGGTGTGTACAGTGCTATATTCAGACCCACGAGTTCTATAAGATGGAAATCCTTGACTCTATCACGGTTTCACAGCCGCATACACCTGGGACCTGCCCGGGCTAGATTTACGGCTCTCGGGTACCTTTGTTCCATTGATTGAGCACGCACATTGCAAGACTACCATTTAGAACGCGGAAAACGCAAGGTGAAAACGTGGTCGCCGTTGGGACTTTTTCGGTCATCGTAGTGGTCTATTTTCTTCACACCGAGGTGGAGACGGAGAGAAAAAGAGACGGGCAACAGGGTTTCGACTGGACGGTTGGTTGGACCGTGAAAGGACATATCTGATACTCCAACGGCGCGACTATTCTTGATTGGGATGACACTGGCAGGCGGTAATGAACGAGCAGTCACAACAGACGAGCCCCCTGTTGGCGGAAATTCACCATTGGCTGACATGTACACGAGGATCGGAGTCAGTTATGGGCAGGAGAAAGCGTGTTGTGAAAGGTTGCGAGATACGGGTGAAGAGACTGAGCTCGTGGCGGTAGGCCAGGACGAAGGACCAGCCAGATTAGCCGACAGCGAGAAGAAGGGAAAACAGACGAGCGGAGGAGGAGCGGCGCATGTTGCGGATGGGCTTGCAAATCAGCCAGAGCGGACACCTCGTTCTCGCCGCGTGGGGGTTGTCTTTCCGCCGTCAAATTACAAACGCCCTCACCCATTACTCGACTTGAAGAACGCAGCAGCTGGCGGTTTATCTGGCTCAAGCGGCAGTACGGACGCCAGCAGGAGGACCAGCACCGCGAGTTGTTCGAGTCCCCCCGTCGTCCCTCCAAGGTCGCCACTTCGTCCATCTCTACCACGCCATCGCACTCCACCCCCGTCGGGGCCATCGTCAATTGAACAAGAAACATCCTCCGAAACTTACGTTGACCGTTCAAAGTCAACTCTATCCCAAATGCCGATCATACACACTCACAGCTTGGGTTCGCTGACTGCCCTCCTGGAGACACTCAATGCCGGCGCGGACCCTTCTCTATTCCCGGATAAAGAATTGCCACTGCCCCCAGGCTATGAACAGGGGAATAGCTATAACGACGAAGAAGAAGACGAAGACTTAGATCCAGATACCGATAGAACTTCATCTAGTGACAGTCTTACCCTCGACTTGGGCATTCCTCTCAGCCCTGGCATCTCTGGCATTCCTGACACACCACCACCAAATCAACCAACCACTATGACCAAGAGAATGCATGCCCTCCTGGAGCTGCTCACTTCAGAATGCGCATATGCTTCCGATCTGGCTCTCATCCGCGATATACACATCCCACTCGCCCTAGGTATGTTTTTTCTTTTGTGATGCTACAGATACCCGCTTATCTCTCGCTGTGACCTTTCTCTACAGGCCAACCCGCTCCTTTCCACGCGAATGGCACGCCCAGTCCCCCGCCATTTTCTCCTGGCTCTGGTTCCTCATCCCGTACCGTTTCAACAGCATCAGATTCATCTACATCTTCGTCGCAACTCGGCCCCCCGATGTCCCGAGACGACGTGCGCATCATCTTTGGTAACATCAGTGACCTCGCTCTTTTTTCTGATAAATTCGTCGAGCGCCTCGAGGATGCCCTAGGCGGAGTACTCGAAGGTGGGAGCGGCGAGGATAGAGTAGGAGCCTTATTTCTCGAGATTGTGCGTAGCCTCTATTTTCTCCCTTCTGCTACTCAGTCTCCGTGTTTATACCACATTCCAGATCCCGGCGCTCGAACCACCATATAAAACCTACATAACCCGCCACCCTACTGCCCTCGCCCATCTCAACGCATTGCCGTCTTCCCCAGCGCTATCCGCCTATCTCGCTCACACCCGTACGCTAGCCTCGTCGCTCACCCATGCATGGGACCTCCCGTCTCTTCTCATAAAGCCCGTCCAACGTCTCCTCAAATATTCCCTCCTCCTCGGCGCCATTATTGATGCAACCCCAGATTCCCATGAGGACCGCGTAGCGCTCATTAAAGCCCGAGAGAAGATGGAAGAAGTCGCGAGAAGCGTCAACGAAGACCGTCGACGATGGGAGGTTGTCCGTGAAGTCCTCGGTGGTGCCCCTCTCCCCAATGCCAACGGGACCACCAAACCCAAGAAAGGCACCTCCGTCAACGTCGGCGTCAGCGCCACCGCTTCTGCCCACCTCAACCGGATGCGGTCCCTCCGTGCACCTAAACTTCGGGATTTGGCGGAGAGTGAACCGGATAGTGCAGAGGCTGCTGAGGTGGCGAGGCTTGAGATAGAGTTGCAAAGGCACGCTGCGTTCTTGGATAAGTTAGCCAAAGACGCTATGGATTGGAGGAACACGATGCATGTGGCGTTAGTCGCCCTCCGACAGTGGGGTATCACGTTTGGCGCTGTATTAGGCCTGACGCCTTCTCCGTCTGCGTTGAATCCTGACCTTCTTCCCGACTCCCCCAGTCAACAAGCCATCGACACTGCAGACCCAGAAGTACGCTCAGAGGCATATGACGCGTTCACGCTTCTCCTCTCTACCCTCCCCCGTCTGTCCAAGACACTCGAATCCAACCTCCAAAGTACCTTTATCCCAGTGTTGTGTGATCTCAAAGCGATGCTTGAACCGCCCATGAAACTCTTCAGCGCTATGCACGCCCTCGCACCACTGCACAACGCGCTCCTCCACACCCATTTTGCAGCATCCAAATCCCGACGCCCCGCACCAGCACTCCTAACAGCCTCCCAGTCCTACCTCGCACTTCGCTCCGCACTGGCCGCCGAACTTCCAACTCTCTTCAGTGCGATGAACCGCGCAACAGGGTATGCTATACGGATGTTGGCACGTGAACAAGCGACGTTTTATTTGGCGGTGAATGAGCGGTGGGCGGATCTCTGGGATGCGTTGAGAGTGGAGGGGGAGAGGTGTGGTGGGTCAGACGAGACGCTGCGTGTTTGGTGGGAACGGTGGAGTGCGGTTGAGGATCGGCTTAAGGGGATGAGGATAATCAAGAAGGAGAAGTGGTGGGCGGAGAGGGAGAAGGAGCTGAGAGATGGTGCGCGTGAGGTTAGAGGGGATACACGCGATAGGGAGAAGGACGGTGTGAGGGAACGAGATGGAACACATAAACCAAGCAGGAGGTCTACGGCACCGACATCAGGCCCAAGTACGCCAGCTGCGAATGTAATAGCAACACTGGCAGCGCTCGATCCTGCACACGCATCGACTTCACCTCCGTCCAAACGCCAACACCACCAATCTCATCAATCCCACCCTTCACACGATACCATAGGCTCGAACCGACGCCGGAGCGGAAGCACGTCTACAATGCCCGCTCCAACGCAAATACATCGTCGGCCATCCAATGAGTCTCTGCGATCTGGCAAGTCTGGAAAGATCTCGATCAACGGTGGCAAGTCAAGCAGGAGTAGTAGGGGGGACGACGAGCCGCCGGTACCTCGGTTGAAGCCCAACTTCACATTCCCTAATGGCAGTGGTGGGCCGCAGCGCGTGAAAAGCACGCCTGCCATCTCACCTCTCCGTACGTCTGCGTCGACATCATCGTCACACGTACTGGTGGACATCGAGACGGCATATCCATC